CCCTTCATGCCCCCTGCCCTGGATCAAGCTCAAGACCCAGCCATATATCCCGACCAGGAATCGAACTGGCAACCTTTCAGTGCATGGGACAACACCCAATCAATTAAGCCACACTGGCCAGGGTTATGCTGTCAACTTTTAATTCTGCCAAATAAAAAAAAAATTACAACTATCATATAGCATATTACCATGTTGCATAAAAGAAAGAACTTTTAACACCACATGAAGGAGAGACCTTGTAAGCTTCTCTGACTGATTCATATAATGTTCTGGATGTCCTCTCAGCCTCATCAGTGCAGAGAACTATTACAACTGACAAATTGAAATAGAGACACAGGCCGTGAGTTGTGCCCCACCGGGGGCCTGTCCAGCTGGGGTCGCCCTTGCTGAGGTGGTGCTGGCAGCGCTGCCTCTGGAGCCACACGGCCAGGGCACCCGCCCTGCTTTTTGATGCAAGTGTGGAAGGGGTGGTTTTTCTGAGTGTGGGAATGCGGGTAATCTCGGGGAGGTAAACGGTGTCCGTGCTTTTCATTAGAAGCATATGGAGGCCTCAGGAAGTGAGGCGGAATTGAACCAGAACAGCAGAAATCTCGTATTAACAGACTGATTCATATAATGTTCTGGATGTCCTCTCAGCCTCATCAGTGCAGAGAACTATTACCTGTTCCACTTCACAACTGAGAAATTGAAATAGAGACACAGGTCGTGAGTTGTTCCCCACCGGGGGCCTGTCCAGCTGGGGTCACCCTTGCTGAGGTGGTGCTGGCAGCGCTGCCTCTTGCCCAGAGGGACACTTTTCCTCATTTGCACAAAGATGCTGCCAGGGCTTGCAGGTGCCACGTGGAGACTTGCTTGGGATCACCTGGCCGGGCGACGGCTGAGTCACAGCCAGGGCTGGAACCAGGACTGTCTGACTGTCGGGTATGAAATGACATTCCTGCCTCTAATCCCTCTGTTTCCCTAAGGAGGTTCCATGATAACATAGGGTTACAGGAGCAGAGGGATGGGAAAAGACCCTCTGAACACGCCCAGTGTGTTTATCCAGGGCCCAAAGGCAAGTGGCATTCGGGCTGACATAACTGTGCTCTCTGGGGGGCGCAGTGGGAGAGTGTTGACCCTCCTGTTAGGAATAAAGGTATGTTGAGACTTCATTTCTTTCTTTTTATTTAACAAACGTGGCATAAAAGTGTACATCAGACGCATGGCCGTCAGCAGGGCTAATCACCACCTCCTGGTCCCTTCTAGGAACCGTTAGCCATGCTGGTTAGCTTTCCTGATCCCAAGACAGTCTGGTCTTGTTCCACATCACAGCAGGATATTTCATGTCAGAGTGAAGGAATCATGTGATGCGATTTTTTAAAAGGGGGAAAAGAAAACAGTCTGCTTGGAGTTTTCCCCTCTGCGTGGCAGGCACTGCCCCCACAATGGGCATATTCATCTGTCAGGGCCAGTGTTGATGCAATGGGGTGCCCTGGGCTTGCTCTGATGAGCTGGGTAACCAACTCCTCCGGAGTGTATGCGGAGCGGACATTCCACAGCCATTGTTCATTGTCAAGGGGCCAGGCAGCTGGCTTTGGGGCCCGGGGCTTGTTTGCCAACCAGATTTCCTTTTTGAAACTTGAGGCCACGAAGCAGAACGTCCACATGAAGCAGGTCTGCAGGAATGTGAGTCAGACACAAAGTGGGGGTGCAGGGGGCTCCAGGATGGGGACAGACACG